CTTTCCTACATATACACACATATACGTGTACATATAACACAAAACAAAAAATGCACAGTCTTACATATAAAATTTATTTATACACGTCGGTTTGTGCGCCAGAAATGCGTTCGGTATCTGTATCACTACCGCCTCTGCTGAGGCTATAGTCTGTATTTCCTTCTGTTTTGATTGTACACACTTAAGTTTATACATATATATATATCTCATACGTTTACTTATAATTTCTTATAAATTTGTTGTTTGTATTATTTTTATTTAATTTTTTTATTGTATTTTTTTTTAATGTTTTTTTTCTTTTATTTTTGGCAACATCATCGACAATGTAATTATTATCTCGCTATCGTGGTCGACTTTTGCCTCCAACGGTTGACTGCATGACTTGCTTATAGCTGGCTTTTTGACTTATTAAGTGTTCATATGTTTAATATAAATTAAAGCAAACACGCATACATACACTATGTACATACACATGTATAAAGAAAAAAAGCATACGAGCGCAGAAACTTTTACTTTCATTTGCCTTTCGCACTTAATTTGGCTAATGAAAAGGTGAGAAATGAAATTAAGTGAAAAGTAATTTCGAAAGTTAAAAAACTGGCCCTTATACTATGTTGTACGCAAATATATATGTATGTAATAACTATTGTTGAAGTGGTATTATTTGGTAGATTTCATTTAATGTTTGTAAGTGAAAAAAGTGTAATTACGTAATTGAAAATTTCTATTGCAATGCGTTACATCCCTTTTCATTTCAAATAAAATAAGTGTTACGTTATTTTATTTTTTTTCATATTTTTTATTGTATTTTTTACATGTTATTTTAATTTGTTTGATTTTATTTTATTTTATTTTATTTTATTTTATTTTATTTTATTTTATTTTATTTTATTTTATTTTATTTTATTTTATTTTATTTTATTTTATTTTATTTTGTTTTATTTTACTTCGTTTTATTTAATTTTACTTAACTTTATTCTATTTTGTTTATATTTATTTATTTTTCTTTTCTTTTATTTCGTTTGATTTTATTTTATTTAACTTGCATTCATTACTTTTATTTTACTTTGTTTTATTTTATTCTATCCTATAATTAAAATTTTTTAAAATAATTTATTTTATTTTATTATTATTTGATTTCATTAAATTTTCTTTTATTTATCATTTATTTCATTTTGTTTTATGTAATTTTGTTTTAAAGCTTTTGAATTTATTTTGATTAATTTATTTTATTGTTATTTATTTATGTTAATTTTGTTTTGTTGTTTTGTTTTTTGATTTTTTTAATCTAATTTTATATTACTTTATTTTATTTTATTTTCTTATATGTTAATTTACTGTTTATTTTTTTTTTTGATTTTATTCGATCTTATAATTATAGTCTTATTTTTGCGCTGTTTATTTTATTTTGTTTTGTTTTGTTCTACTTTGTTTTAAAATATTTTGTCTTATATATTTATTTTTATTAATATATTTCTTTTTTATTCTCCTTTAATTTATTATGTTATATATTATTGTACATAGGGTCTTATTTATTTTAGCTAATTTTTAAATTGAAGTATATTATTTTTATTTTTATTTATATTTTTCATTTACGTTAATTTTTGAAAACTAAGTTTTTTTTTTATTTTTTATTTCATTAAAATAAATATAATATATTTTTATGTTTTCTAGTTTCGTTTACTCTAGTATTATTTCTTAAATTAATTTAAGTTTTTTTACTGACATTATTTTATTTCCTTTTTTTTATATATTTTTGTTTTGTATTATTTCGTTGTATTTTAATTAATTTTAATTTGTTTTGCTCTCCTTTATTTTATTTTGAGTTATTTTCTTGCTTCTTATTGTATTTATTTAAATTGCCATATTTAAAATATTTATTTGCATTTTATTTAGTGTACAATTTTTATATATATATATTTATTAAATATATATTTATTACCCAAAAATGTTTATTATCCTAAGAAAGCTTTTTTCAAGGTGTTTCCCCAAAAATTCAAAATTCCCTTATATGGTGCATATGTACATATATGTATAGTATAGTATGTATGTGCAACTAGACCTCACCTCATCAGGTGCATGTCTATATGCTAGCCGCTGTCAATTGCATTTTGGCACGCTACCTACGGATAGCGATGGTATTTAGCGTCGCCCCAGTAAACTTAGCCCTACCCCTTATGTTCAGCCTTAATGCTCGTCTCTGTTGCTACGAATACAATGCTTTGCTTTCTTAATTTTCTATTTATCCTTTGGCTTACAAGCAAACACATATTTTAGTGCTTCCTTTTGGGCTACATTTTTGTGTGTGTCATTTTTTGTTTTTTTTTTTTGTTTTGTTTTTTGTTCTCTTTACCTTTTATTGATCCACTAGAGTTGTTGTGTCCCGGCGATTGTACATTACTTTGCCCTAAATTGTTCGCGTGTGCTTCCAGCTTGCATGTAACACTGCTCCACATGTCAAACATACGTTGCGTATACATTATAGTAATTGTTGTTGGCTGATGTTGCACGTTTTTGTTTTTTTTTTGTTTTGTTTTTGGTTATTGTTGTATTGTTTTTATTTTACTAGTTTCAGTATTTGTGTGTTTGTATGTAATGATTGTGGTTTTTTTTTAGTGTTGTTTTATTGGTTGTTACGAAACTTTAGCAAACCGCACTAGCTATTGCTTGTTGTTGCAAGTGTTTGGTTGTTGTTGTTGAATGTTTGTGTGTGTGAAAAAGCTTTAGTTTCGCTAACTTTCCGCAGCGCACGAGAATGTATATGTAATAGTGCAAGTGTTGTTGTTAACGTTTTGCAGTTATTCACTTAGTATTTTTTTATTTATTTGTTTTTTTTTTTTGTTTTTTTTTTTTGCAGTTGCTATATTTGTTGTTGCACTTGTTTCTTTGCAATTTCACTATCACTTTTATGATTTTCAATTCGTTTTATTTTCTAATTTTACTCGTTTGTCGTTTATGTGAATTTCATTAATTAAACGCGCGTAAGTTAAATTGTTTAATTTGAAAATTTTGCAGCGTGTGAACTTTTTACATACGTACAAGTAGCGTTTTCCAACAGCTTTCGTCCACGTTTACGTACCACAGGCATGGCGTTTGCGTACATGTCGTTCAACTTTTTTTGTTTTAATTTTTTTTTTCGTTAAAACAGAAAATCGTAAATTTTGGCGGTAAAGAAATTTTTTTAAAAAAAAGGGGTCTTTTTTAATTAAAAAAATTTTATTTTTAAATTTTGCAATCTCTTGCTTGTGTTTTTTTTTTGTTTTAAGTAATTAACAATTATTTATTTTCAATAACTATAAATTTAATAAAGAATTTTAATAGTTTTTTTTTTGTTTATTTTTGTAATATATTTTAGTAATCTTCACTGCTTTTATAACAGCACTTGCATACAAAAACTTTAACCGCTATGACTATGCTATACTAGGTATGTATGTATACGTTGAAAGAGTTCAGTTATTATTAAATATATTTATTTTTTAATATTTTATATTAATTTTTTTTTTGCCAGGGGGCCATTGCACTTCGGAGTTGTGTTGTTAAATTAAATACAATTTTTTTCGCGGCACGCTTTAGTTTTAAGTTTCAATGCGTATTATTTTGAAATTAACTGTCATCTAACAATTTGTTTTTTATTGATTTTTAACAATTATTTTTAGAGATTTTTTCTTAGAAAATAATTGTTTTTAGGCTTCTGAAAATTTTGCTATCGTTTTGAAAATTATTTTAAGCTTTTTAAAAAATTATTTTTATGCTTTCACTAATTATTTTTTATTGGTTTTGATAATATTTAAAAACTGTTCTTAACAAAATTTCCGCATTGGTTTTTTATTAACAGATTTATTGTTTTTTGTTTTGATTCTTACAAAAAGTACAAAAAATGCCTTATTACGTACTTTAGACGTGCATATATATATTTATGTATGGGTGTGTGTATATAAATTTGTAATGATTTACGGTACTTGCTTGCTTACTATGTATGTATTGAAGTTTGAAACTTTTATAAATTTTTTAAATTTATTTTTTTACTTAAAAAAAAGTCAACTTTTTTGCTTGCACTTTTTTAAGTTTTATTTTTATTACTATAATTTTTTTATTTTGAAACGTTATGTGTTGGCTAATTGTTGTTGTTTTTTCTGTTTATTAAATTTTCTATTTATTTTTGCGCTATTTTTATTTTGCTAAGATTTTTTTTCTGCTTTCTTTACTAAATTTTCAACTGTTATGTATAATATATGTATGTAAATGTGAAATATTAGTATCACAGTTTTGTTGTTGTTGTTTTTTTTTTTAATGTTGCCGCTATGTTTTATTGATTTTGCCCCTTTTATTTTACATACAAATTCGCATGAATTTATTTATTTTTATATTTCACGCTGCTTGTATATGTGTATGTATGATAAAGGGTTTTTTAGACTTGCTGTTTTTGTTGCTGTTTCACTTGCACTGCATTTCGTAGATATATACTATATTTTTTTAATTAATATTTTTATTATTTATGAAAAGGTACTATTTGCTGGTTATTAACTAATTAATATGTGTTAATTTTTGCTTTTGTTTTTGTTTTTTTTTTAAATTCAACTTATTTGTTAATATATATCTGTATATATGCTAGCCTTTGTATATATAGTTCATATATGTATGTATGTATGTAGATTATTCAATATCTTTTTATTAATGATTATATATATATATATATATATTTTTTTTTTTATTTTATGCTAAGACACTTGTTAGAACAATTTAGCGAAATGTTTGCAACAAACAATATTTTTTGTTGTTTTTTTTTTATTTTTCAAAAAGTCTGTGGTGAAAAATGAAAAAACAGATAAAATAATTTCGTAATCAACTTTTGCTTATAAGTTCATGCAACGCACGTTTTTTCTTTGCTGATTACAACAAAAAAATCATTTAATTTTTATTTTTATTTTTTGTTCAAATAAAATTCATTAATTTTAACAACGCGTCGTCTCTATATACATATGTATATGTATATAAGGTAAATTGTTTGTGTTTTGCTTTCTCATAGGCACACACATACATATGTACGCATACACACAGGCACACACGCAATAGTTGTTGTTCGCCGAATTTCTTTTCGTAGAAATTTATCAAAAAATTGTATTTCCTCTTTGGATGTTTGTGAAATTTTCGACTGATTTTTGCTGTGGCGTTGTTGTTGTTATTGTTGACCACTAGCACAGGTTTTGCGTGCGACTTTTCTTTGATTTTGCAACAATTTGAAGTGATTTAAATCCCTACTGTTGTTTTTGTTGTTGCTGCTGTTGTTGTACTTGCTATTGACGTACTCTTGCGGCTGTTGGTGTTGTTTTTGTTGTTGTTGCTGACCAGCACTTTGCTTATAATTGTGGACTTTTTGGCTTTTGTTGTTGTTGTTGTTATTGCTGTTATTGCTACGACTACTTTGACTACCGCTAACAGCGCTGATGTTGTTCCTGCTGCTGCTACTATTGCTGTTGCTGTTGCTGTGGTGAATTATGCTATTGTTACTATTGTTGCTAAATGCTGTATATATGCTATTATTATTATTGTTGTTGTTGTTATTATTATTATTTTTACACTTAAACACTTTCACTGCGTTGTTATGCTGTTGTTGTTGTTGCTGCTGATGGTCACTAGCAGTACTGTTGTTGTTGTGCCGTTGTTGTTTATGCTGACTCTGTTGCTGTTGTTGCTGTTGTTGCTGCTGTTGCTGTTGATGATTTCTCTTCTTCTGATGATCTCTTTGGTTCCAAATTAAGATTTCCAAAAATACGAAAATTTCACGACAATTTATTCCGGAAGACATTTGGAATTTATTTTACTATAAAAATGCGACGACGACGACGATGACGAGTCCATTTCAACTTTGCTATGTTTTGTTGTTGTTGTTATTTTTTTATTATTATTACTATTGTTGCGTTTGTTTAAATAGATTTTTATTGTATTCTATTTTTGCTTTTTTCATGCGTTGCACTTGTTGTTGTTATTTTCACAGCTTTTATTGTTGTTGTTTTGCACGAGTTGTTGTTGTGGTTTATTTTTTGTTCTGCGTTGTTTGCTTTGCTTGCCTTTTTTGCGCCAGAGATTCGTGGTTTTTATGTTGCTGTTGTGTTTGTTGTTGTTGTATGTATTTATAATTTACTTTCTTTTATTTGCTGTTGAGGTCGCTTTTTTTTATTAATGAAGGAATTTTTTAATTAATATTTAGTATTTTTTTGTTTTTGTTGTTAGTGTTATTTTTGGTTTGTTGGTTGGTTGGGTTATGCGATAAGAGTGAATGGAGCGTGAATATTCCAAAATAAATAATAATACATAACGGATAATTCAAAAAATAAATTAAATTCGAAAATAAGAAAATAATTATATAATTTAATATTCATTAATTATTTTCCATTATTTTTGTTTGAGCATAAATTTTTTTTTTGGTTTGAAAAAGAAATTGTTTAGCCAAAAAATAAAAATATTTATTAAATTTTTCTGTAGGAAATTCAATTACATCTATGTATGTGGGCTGATCAAGTATTCAACGCGAAATGGACAATTTACTTTTACATATATTCATAAATTTGTATGTACATATGTACATATACACATGTCTACACTGCTAAAGGCAAAAACTCCTCTCTTTGGTATGTAGATATGTATATTTAGTATCCACATACACACACTCCCCTCTAGCTATTAGCGAAATGCTTGGGGTTATCTATGAGCAAGTGGTATGCCTACAGTGTCTGTGAAATGTGATCGAATGATTGATTAACTAAGTAGGAATTTGTCATTATAATGTCAGCTGAAATAATACGAGTAGTTCAAGGAAAAGTGCGGAGACATACTGAAAGTTTCCAAACTCTAGCATGCTCAACTAGAACCTAAAATGTGACCTGATGGACGATACAAGAGTAAACTCAGTATATGGAAGGAACATGTCTCCAAGCTGCTGAATGGCAGTTGAAATGCAGTTGTAGAAGATGAACTAGCAAATACGCTGATTTAATAAAAAAAAAATTTTGAAGCTAAGACTTTAAAAAAAAAATAATTATTAATTCTTTAATATGATTAACTTTCATATTATTAAGCTAATATTAAAATAACTTTTTTCTGATATTACTTAGGAATAACACCTACATTTTTTCAAAATTTTTAAAATTTTTGAAAATATTTCTTTCTTCGATATTTCGAATTTCCCTTACTTTTTAGAGCTCTAACATAAACCATATCCCCCTTAAAGCTGTTAATCACAGCTGCTCCACTAACGAAACGATGGCATTTCGTTTTCTTAATAAGAGAAATAAATTTAACGAAATTTTATTAAAACAAAATGAAATTGTCAACGTTCAAGCCGCACGAAATCAAACGTTAACATTAATTTTCAAATAGCAGCTTGCTATAATTTAACAGCACACTTCAGTTTCACCATTTAACATTATCTGTTAACGATTTAACATTAACGACAGCACATCTTGCCGGGGTGAAAACTGAATAAAATTTATTTTGTTAACGGCTTCAACGATAACAACGATATTAGTAAATAAATTCTTCTTGTACATACTCATATTATACCGTAAATAACGAGAATTTTATTTTAGACACTGTAAATGTGCTGAGGCATAGACTTGAGGGATGCTATTTGCCGCAGCAGCGCAACAGTCTGTCGACGCACCCCAATGTAGCGAGAGAATTGATTGATGAGTAAATATTGGAGTCGATTGAAGCTATCGTGTCTTGCGGGAGTTTTAAATATACGAGTATGTATATGTATATATATGTATGAGAGATATGTTTACAATTGCTCATTTAATTTACATGTTCTTATGTAAATAGAAACTGATACTTTTAGTATTTTTCTAGCATAATGTGAATATTGGTTTATACTTATTATATATATATATATATATCTAAAAGTTTATATGTATGTAAGGAGTTGCATTTTCTAATAATTAAATGAATTCCTTCACTTGCTTATGCTGAAAATAAAGTTTTGCTTCCTTCCTAACTCCGCAGCCCAAACTTCCGCAGCAAAAAGGGCACACAACAACACTGCGACAAACATTGGTCAACTCCCCCGGTAGTGGGTGTGTTGGCAGCATATCTATTTCAAACGCATGAGGAGTACTAACAAGCGCATGATTATGTATGTATGTACACGGTTGCATGTAATGCAGATGTATGTACATATGAGTTGCTTGGCAGCAGAAAAAATCGATAAATAACTGATTGTGGGGTAGTTTCAGAATGCACATACATACATACGTACAGAAAATATACATATGTATATAAAAATTTCCATGTACACAAATGTATATGTATATCATTCATCTATTGAACATAATAGAAATTTCTACTTCTAACGAATAGCCTTACCTCACTTCAATTCTCACTTCAATTCACTGTACTTTCATAATGAAATTTTCTGCTTTGCAAATTAAAGGCCTCAAATTAAATAAATATTTTATAAAGAACTAGAGTTTCCCCTCAACTTTGTCTGTTTGAATATTTATATATGCAATTTAACAATCTCTTTGCAGGCAAATATCAGGCAAATTTTTGTTGTTGTTTTATTTACAATTTTAAAATTTTTTTTTTCGTTCAATTGCTTATTTAAAATTTTCTAAGGATTTAGTTGATGACGCATTCTCTTTGGTCCTCTCTGCATTTAATAAAATGAATACTATCCTTTAAATTCAGAAATGAAAGAAATGCCCTCTGGCTCTGATATTAACAGCACACTTTAACATCTAACATTATCTGTTAACGATTTAACATTAACGACAGCACTTCGTTTCTGGTAAAACGAAATAAAATTTATTTGGTTAAAGGCTTTACCGATAATATTTCCCAATGTTTTAGACAAATCAATTGAAACTTTTTGATTAACTTGAAATTTAGCATAACGATGCCGCTTTGGTTAATATGCATATATGTAATAATAATATACGTAATTTGGTCTAAAATCATAAAGTAAAGCCAAAGCGGTGGAGTACTTTGTTCTGTTTCTACCGAATTTCGAGCATCTTTATATATTAATATATTAAATTATACATTGACATATAAGGATACGTTATCCTTCATATTTTTGTATTTGGTGTACATATTTTTACTCTTTTATCAACTCTACTATTTCTCCTATGTGCCCTCTGTAAGCAGAAAGAGAGCTTATTGGAAAACTTTTGACCGATCTGATCAAATATTTTGGATAGGATAGGATCAAATATTTAGGGAATTCATAGAAAGACTCTTGTTGGGCCCACAAATCAGCCTACCCACCATATAAGTGTATTTAGACTTTCGGTGAAAGGCAGTTACAGCGCCACGCATGTCATGTTAAAGCCAAGCAAGTCACGTTCAGTTCTATCCGAACTTAATCTTCCTCACTTGCTATTGTATTATACACATATTTTTTTATTTAAAATATTGCTATTCTTCGGATAAATAATTAAAATTGCTAGCAAACATGACAATATTAATTTAATACAAATGAATCACTGCTGACCCAACAAAAACGGCCTTTGGTGGTATGCAATGGTAAGCAATGTGTGAATGTGTGAATGGGGAATCTCTGCATTACAATTACAGCAAACGAACATAAGAAAAAAGTATACAATAAAATACAACAACAGTAGCAACAGCGCAATATAGGAAGAATTAAAAAACACACATACATCTTAAATATAATATATACATATACATATGTATACATAAGTACATATGTATAAACAGAAATGGAAAAATACACTTTTAACAACAAAAAAAGAAAAGAAGAAAAAACAGCAAAAGAAAGCAAAAAAAAAAAAAATCAAACAGCAACAATAACAAAAACTACATGCAAATAGCACCAACAACCAGCAGCAGGAACCCAAAAGTTCTATGACCTAAAGCTTCACTCGATGTTGGTGACAGCAGAGCGTAGCGTACACGAAGAAGTAGTAGACGAGGAAGAGAAAGAAGCAGAAGAGGAAGAGGAAGAAAAAAACAACATAACCAAATGCTGGCTGACATAAGCACACACACGGGTATACTGAAACAAATACAAGTATAAAAAGAAATGCACAAACACAGGCGTATGGATTTTCTGTACACATATATATACATACATACATACATTTTATAGGTAGATGTAAAAAATGTTTTAATATACATGCATACATAAGTATATGTATGAGGTAACCAAATGCGGCTAGAATACCGGTAAATAACTGTATATGTGCATACATACATACATATAACATGTTTACACTTTTGTCTAACAAGCATTTTACATACATACATATGTAAGTATGTAATAAGTGATAACACTTGAGCATATATAAATTATTTTTAGACATTTACATATGTGCATGCATAACAACACACATACACAAACAAACGTATATGTATACGTATAAATACATCTGTCCACACGTTCTTAAGCCAAATTGACAGCATGCTACCAACCAGCTGGAATCACCATGGAATGATTGGATAGTATGTACATATGTACATAGCTTGAGTCGACGTTAAAATCAGCAACAACAACAATACAACGAATAATAACAGTGAATAGCAATTTAAGCAACTCTGGGGCAACCAACTGAACTGAATAATCATAGAGGCAGCATTTATACAGTTATTTCTTTAAATGTATTGCATTACATACATATGTATATGTATACACATATGCACAGAACGCCAACGTCAGCAAGTTACAGTTACAACAGCGTTTAACCAGAACAGCTAGAAAGAACATCAACAGCACCACTAAAAAAAATAAGAAGCAACAACAACAGCAGTGGTAACAGCATACTGTAATAGCAACAACAACAACAACAACAACAACAACGTCCAGCTTAAAAACGAATCATAACATTACATTAAAGCAACACACGCGAACG